GTTAATTGTGGGGTTGTTTTAATTAAAAGAATTGATGGATTGAAAGATGCTTTTACTTACTACCTGCATTTTGTTTATGTATGCTTTAGTGCAAATATAGTTCAAAATGAACATACGAGTTATTTCAACATGTGCTCTTCTGCAGTACAGATAATCAAGGGAAGTAATGGTTGTACGAATAGAAAAGCTAAAACTTTTATCGAAGAAAAAAAAATGGTTTCAACTTTCAAATACACATTATTTAAAAAGAATTTTACGTGCTTGACTCTTGAAAAAAATCAAATATGTTAAAAGATATAATTTTAGTAAATAAAAGTGTACCCTTATTTTTCAAGCTAGGGTCCGTGATGTTCTTGATCAAACCTTAGTCATTAAGAAAACAGCAATTACAATTGAATAAAATTGAAGGGAGAAAATAAATAAATTGTTAGGAGTGCGAACAAAGTCTTATAATGGTAGTTGAACAGATTGAGAGGTCTTTTAGGGAAGATCATGCGGACTTGGTCCAAAACGAATAATATCACATCATGTTAAGGGTATCTTTGTGCTGGTTGAGCCCAACAACTAGTATTAGAGCCCAGGTTCAACGAGGCGAGTATATTGATAGCTTAGTGTTGGTGCATGGCTCGATTTGCTTACCCTTACAAGCTTGGATATATGCACACAGGAAGAAGCTAGCTACGAGCTTCGGTTACCATAAATATTCTGATAATGTGGGCGGTACACGATGAGTCTCGAAAATTAACTCGTGGATCGTGATAATTAGCCACATAGAATTTGGTGCGAGGGGGAGATCCGTGGATCGTGGTGATGGACCACATGAAACGTAACTTAGTTCAAGGGGGAGCTAGATTGTTGGGTATACGAATAAAGTCCTGCATTGGTAGTTGAAAATTAAGAGTGGTAGCATACATGTAAGGTATATGGATCTCTTAACGGTATGATTCCTTTTGGAGAAAACTATACGGACTTTGCCCAAAATAAATAATATCACGGTATATTAAGATATCTTTGGACTGGTTTAGCCAACGAAAACAAGCAAATAAATTAGAAGACAAATCCAGATAAAAATAATATTCTTGGCTGCTTCTTGAATCTGAGGTCTGTTCACATAACAATAAATGCAAATTAAGAAGCTTTTTGGCAGAATATTGTTAAAACCTTGAATAAGTTAAAGCAACAATAATGATACGTAGAAGAAATGTAACCTCAGGTTTTTTTTCTGCTGTCAACTGCAGGCAGACATGAAGAAAGAAAAGGAGATAAAGAAGACAATTAAGTATATTACTCTTTCATTCCCCTCCACATAGTGCAAATAATTAGTGGTTAAAAATGATAGTATTTCTAGTAAAAAACGCTTAATAATATAATAAAGTAATTAAAAATATGTTTTTTTTAATCGCTTAAACTTTCAGATTAGATAGACACACATTTTAACACTGTATTAGAGCATTCAGGTAAAGGTCTTAGATTCGAGTCTTGCCATTATCCATTATTAAAAAAAACTTCAACTGCTTAGCTCATGCAAGAACGAAATCATGCTCGCACATATATTAAAGACATAATTAATTAAGTAATTAAAAATAAGTTATCTCGAACAACTTAAATTTCTGATAAGATAATCACATACTTCAAAAATTCATGAAATTTGTAAATACCGAAAAGAATGCAGCATGTATAACGTGCTAATTATTCCTGTGGTAGGTTAATTTAGCCCTTTATAAATGTCGAAGCGCCATTTGTTGGGAAAAAAGAGGAAAAGTTGGATTTGTTGGGAGTTTGAAAATTCTACAGAAATTAAGAAAAACAAGGTTCAGTGTATTAGATTAAATTTAGTTTAAATGATTACTTTCTATGAAAAAGTAGCTAGAGATATGAATTTCACCAGTTGAAGCTACTCTGAAGCTACTCTCATTCTCTATACATGGCTGTATTACATAGTATGAATGATTAATCACCAATGGAACTTTCCACGAAAAAGTAGAGTACTACTCTTAACTGTGTTGTAAGATTTTTGCACACCCCTTAGCACTATCAGAAAATCGCCATTTATTGATTCTCTTTTTTGTTTTCTATTCGGTGTCTGATACTCGCATTAGGACCCGATTAAATTTGAAATCATGCGGCAAAGTCTTATACAGGGGATAAAGCGTTCCCTAATAAAGGCGACTATACTCAAGACTCAAACCCGAGACCTCTAGTTAAGGATAAATGAGTACTTGTCACTTCACCATAATTCTTGTTAGTGCGATTTACTAATCCTCGACGCCGTCCAGAAGGATTTCTGTCCATCGGAAAACAGCTAATCAGAAAAAATGTCCGATAAATTTGGTCGAAAAATTAATATTTAAAAATGACAAACTATTGTCATTTCTGACGAATGAAAAATTATAGGAAAGACATTATTTAATAGTCTTGATCATAAGAGTTATCTAAACTATTAGTTATTTCTTTTTAAATGGCTCACTTAATTAATATTTCATTAAATAAACCAATAAGAAACAACGAACTAATATTTGAGAGCTAGAGAGAGGATTTCATTCTATCTCCGTTTCACTTGTGTTGAATCTCACCACAGATCATGCTTAGAACGTTTATTTTTTAATTTTTTTGGCTATGCAATTAATTCTACGCAACAACTTTAGCCTTTAGGCCATTTAATGGCTAAGCAACAAATGATCAAATAGTTGCAAATTTCCTGGGGTCAGAAAAGTTACTATTCTGTATACAAATGTAATGGAAATTATATTGCATGTTCTGATGTTGATACCCATCACCCATTCTTGATGGCTACATTTACTCTCAAGATTCCGATAAGTCTACAAAATCTTGTGATATGCATGGATGCAACAATGAGTCATCTTAATTAGAGGCCTTAGGCTCGAGCTCGGGAATAGAAAATTCCTGATATGAAATGCGTCTTATTGGCGTGAATCCAGATTAGTCGATGCTCCAAAACAAATATCGTCGGAAACCGTTCATGAACTTTCCCGCCAAGAGAGGAGGTCTTATCTATTTCCTGGTATATAACCCAAAGTTTTGTGACCGGAAAGTAGGGGAACTGTCTGTATGGGATAAAATTGATAAACGACAGGTGGATGTTCGACGAGTTGATGCGTGAAAGTACATGCAAGTAAGATATGAGCCAACAAATAGTTGACACCGATTACGAACATGTGATCGGTGCTGAAGTGAAAAAAAAATAAATATTTTTTCCACTAGCTCGGTTGATGTATTAGATACTAGGGGTGTCAATGGTTCGGTTCGGCCGGTTATTTTATAAAATTTATATCGTACCAATTTTTCGGCTATTCTATTATGTATAACCAAAATTAGACTTTTAAAAACCGTACCAATCATGTCGGTTTCTCTTCGGTATCGGTTCGGTTAATTTTCGGTATTTTTTTAAGTGTCATTTAAAAGTCACTAGTAGAAGCATAATGCAATAACATACGTACTTTTATAGGACTTAGCAAAACTCTCTAAATATTTTTTTTATTTAAAGGGTGATGAATTAAGAAAATATAAAAGATGGCCAGAGTATATACCCATCAACTATTCTATAGCAGTGCAAAAGAAACTAAGCAAAGAAAAAGTAAATATAAATCACATGAGTGGAAAGATAAGAATAAAGTCTATAGAAGATTAAATATTTGAAAATATAAATTTAAATCATACGAAAGGAACATATTCCATATATTGTGGTTTGCTACTCATAATCGCTAGAATACCTTGTGTCTTACTAGAGAATATGCTGAAAATAATTTAGTTTCAATAGAAGTAGTATAATAGGTTTGGGAATTAGGCTTTTGAGTTCAATTACCTATTGGCTTGCAACCGTTTTCATAATTCCAAACCCAAGAAAAAATTTAATACTTTATTATTTTAAAACTTAATATATAAATATATTTATTCCATGTAAATTTATTTGATACGGTTCAGTATTTTTTAGGTTTATTTTCGTAGAATAAAAAACCTATCCTAATTATCGGTACGGTTATAGATTTATATAAAAACCTACGGTTTTATTAAAAGAAACCTAAAAATCGGTTCGGTTCGGTACGGTACGGTTCGGCCGATTTAGTCGATTTTTAAATATCCATTGACACCCCTAGTAGATACCCTTGTGAATTTTGTTTACGATTAATTTTTATTTAGGTATAACTTTTATCATCAGCCAGAATATCGCATCAATAATAACAATCAGCACCTCAATCCAAGTAAATTTGATTAATGGACTATATGAATTCACACCCATCATGTCTCTCTCATGGACCAATATTATACAAAAAGAGAGAGGGTACTTTCCAACGATTATTAAAAGTGATTAAAATGGTAAAACTATACTTAGGGTATGCCAAATTCACTTTTACAAGGTAAATAGAGTAAGAGTTCATGTGCATATATAAGGATAGAAGTTAGTCAAATTACAATCAATCATTTTCTGTAGCATTTGATGCTGTGGACAACTTCTCATCCAACAAAAAAAAGAAAAAAAGGAAAGACAATCCTGGGGAGTTGCTACTGCCATTGATAGTGGACCATGTGGAATAAAATATTTTGGTGTATTAAAAAATGGCTAAAAATGCAATTGAGTTGCCTCTAGGCCATGGCTATAAAAGGGTAATGGAATCAATTGAATCTGCAATCTTCTTCTAGTTTTTCCATATTAACCTTTTTTTTTTCTCATTGCTCATTGGGTCTAATTTTGTGGGCAAAAGTGCAAGAAAAGTTGCTAAAATGGCACTTCCTGAGACACAACAAGATTCAAAAGCTTTACCAGACGCTTGGGATTACAAAGGCAGACCAGCCCTTAGATCCTCCTCTGGTGGTTGGGCTAGTGGTGCAATGATTTTAGGTGCGTCTTTAATTTTCCTTCTCTTCTCTCTTTTTTTCCGGTCAAATTAAATGGCATAAGACAAGGTAGGGGTCCATGTCAAACCCCGCCATCTCAAAGTGGCTTTAATAAGAAAAAATGGTGAGATTAGACCGGAAGAAATAATGTTGTGAGTAAGTATATCGTTTATGGTCGAATCAGAACAACCCAATATTGCTATATTGATTGAGGAGGGAGTGCTAGTCTAACTGCCCGTATGTGGATATGCTAATAGATCGAGGATTTTCATGTCCTGAAAATAAGAAAGTAGTTTGTCTGCCATACTGGATGCTTCGTTGAATGTGATGATGCGCATTCTATATAAGGAGTTGATTTGCATCTTTACCTTACGGTTAAATGTGTACCTTTGTTAGACCTCGACCCGCCTACTCGAGTCTTAGTATGGATATATTGAAAGAAATGCTCTAAGTGTGTATAGGGTTTTTATTTGTTCACAAAACTTTGCCTTCTCTTCTTTTTTAAACTTTCTATTCTTTGATCTTTTTTTCCTTGTTTTTCCAATAATGTTCTTGGTTTTTTATTATAGGTGTTGAAGCTGTGGAGAGGCTAACAACACTAGGGATTGCTGTAAACTTAGTGACATATTTGACTGGAACTATGCATTTAGGGAATGCTTCTTCAGCCAACAATGTTACCAATTTTCTTGGAACTTCTTTCATGCTCACTTTACTTGGTGGTTTTGTCGCCGACACTTTCCTCGGAAGGTTCGTGTATTATACTCTCTTCGTCTCCATTTATATGATACAGTTCAGATTTCGAGAGTCAAACTTGTTAATTTTAACTGACAGTTCGTACATGCATACTTTAAATGTTGGAACTTCATTTGGAAAGTTTTTTTTTTGTTAACATCTTTTCTATTTATCTTAATTTTTGCAGGTATCTTACAATTGGTATCTTTGCCACTGTTCAAGCAATGGTAAGTGTCAATTTTTGTTAATTTTTTTCCTTATATATGTGAGATTGAAATTGATGCATGCACTTTTTTAAAGAATCTGTGATGAGGAGACTCGAAATATTCAAGAAAGACTGGCATAAATTAAATGTAAGAGTCAAGAGGGAGATGAAGTTGATCTAATCACATTCAAAAATCAGTCATATTATAATTGTTGTGAAGAGGAAATTCGAGAAAGGAAAAATGAGAAAAAATTAAAACTAATGACACTTGGTCTAATTAATTTGTTGCGAAGAGGAAAATCGAACAAGGAAGAAGAAGACTAATGATGATTCTACAAACAGGAAAGAGGAGGAAGAAACATTTATTCATTACACTAGTTGCAGTTCTCACACATAAAAAAAAAATTAAACTTTACATTGTCAACATATATAATTCAGTTTCAAGAAATAATAATATTAATTAAAAAGATTTAACTTTAATATCAAGAAAAATTGATTCTAACATCTTGTCATAGGAAGTGTTGAAGCAGGATTTCACTAAGGCATTCAAAAAATAAAATAAAAAGTATATACGTGAAGAAGCTAAGGGGATTCAATATCTAATATATGTACATAAAAAAATTAACCTTATATATATATACATCATAATTTTCGGACGAAGGAGGTTCAGTGCTCCGCTTCTGCTCGTAGGTTACCTATCTTATAACCTAAGTTACTGATTTCACGTATTATGAACAGTTATTAATAATTATCGCGAGATAGTATAGAATTTTTTTGTTTTGTTTTTTTGCAACTCTAACCAAAATTGTCATTTGTTATGATGAATAGGGTGTTACAATCTTGACCATCTCAACTATAATCCCAAGCCTACGACCACCAAAATGTGAACAAGTTGGTAGCTCATCATGCATCCCCGCAAATAGCAAACAACTCATGGTCCTATATATTGCCCTATACATGACGGCCCTCGGCACCGGCGGCCTAAAATCGAGCGTCTCCGGCTTTGGCACCGACCAATTCGACGATTCTGACAAGAAAGAAAAGGGTCAAATGATAAAATTCTTCGATTGGTTCTTTTTCTTTATTAATGTTGGCTCGCTCGGTGCAGTTACGGTATTGGTTTATATTCAAGATAATTTGGGAAGAGAGTGGGGTTATGGAATATGTGCATGTGCTATTGTTATTGCACTTGTTGTGTTCTTATTTGGGACAAGGAAATATAGGTTCAAGAAACTTGGGGGGAGTCCATTGACACAAATTGCTTCAGTTATTGTGGCTGCTTGGAAGAAAAGGCATTTGGAATTACCCTCAGATTCTTCACTTCTCTTTGAAATTGATGATATTTTTGGTGAAGGAAATAAAAAAAGCAAACAAAAGTTGCCCCATAGCAAGGAGTACCGGTGAGTTTTCCATCTACTTTTTCTAGTTTAGCTTATATATGTTTGACTTTAAGTGTAAATAATTTTTACACTAGCAGATCACTAAATATATAAGGATTTAAATTATATATATTGATAGTGCACAATAACAACAACAAAAAATCCAGAATAATCCTATAAGTGGGAGTCTGGGGAGGGTAGAACACAGCCTTAAGCTTATCCATACCTTGAGAAGGTAGAGATGTTTCCGGTAGACTCTCGGCTCAAATAAAGATGAAAAGAATCAGTAATAGCAATAAGCAGTAACAAAAAGATAATAAATAAAACCGAAACAAATAAAATAACATGCAGTAATAGAAACCTAAGAGTAAGAAAATACAAGAGTAACTGATAGTATAATTTTTTTCGTAATATTAATATAAGTTAACTTTTGTTAAAAGGTTAGTTACTATATTTTGTATTTTTTTAGAGTCATGAAATTGAGTCCTAATTCTAGATGTTAGACAAATAGACATTACCCTAGTTGAATCTTGTAAAGTAAAGATTCTATCTTTTTATCTTCTTTTTGTAAAAAGAAGATTCCCTTTTGAATTATGGAAAATTTGGACGAAGGAAAAGCATTGATAGGTTTCCAGGAGACTAATATAAGCCACTAATGAGAAAAAGGATTTTCTACGTGCGACTAATATTGCTTGAAGTATTGACTTGATCACTTATATTGTTTGCAATTTTTCATAATAATTCAAAGTAGGTGTCTATGGTAAGTAGGTGATAGTTAATAAAAAAAAGCAAAAGAAAAGTTGGTGCCAAGCTGTGAACTTATCCCCATATATAGTTGGCCAATCTTTGATGGCTCAACCAATTCAAGAACATCCTTCAATCAGATGCCTAACTTATTTCCATTTAATTTGACATGGACAGCCAATAAAGTATTATATAAGATACCTTGTTATTTGACTCACTCTTGAATGTATAGTTATATACTACTAATACTTAGTAACTAGCCTAAGTTGACCCTCTTCAATTAGTACAAAATTTTTACAGCTTATCCTACAAAAGAAACCTAATACCTTTTTGAGTTTAACTTTTATACAATTGTTAGTATAATACATTATCAGCTCATCATATAGTCAAATTTAAAGATAACTATATGTAACTGCGCATTATAATTACATGAAACTAGTTACCAAGAAAATAAGACAAACCACACGTCAACATGTGTAAATATTCTTTACACGGTCGGCAATTAGCATGAAGATAAGAGCAACTCATTAATACGATTGATATTTTGGGTATTCCAGTTGAGATTCCCGAACTTTGATGATTATCTTGTCATATCTAAACCAGTGAGACATCAAAGTTTGACATGTGCATTCTTTTCTAGTCGTAAATAGAGGAAAATAGAAAGATATGAACTTTCTTTTTGTGGCAAGAATGAACTTTCCACATTCCTAAAATACAACTAATTTAGAAAAGGTTTCTTTTACCAAAATAGCAATGAAGGAATATATTGCATGTAGGTTACAGTTTTTGACCCTGCTTTTGTCTTATTGTTTTGCAGATTCTTGGACAAGGCAGCCATTAAGGAAGATGATGACCTTGAATCTAATGGCACTAACGTTGTAATCAACAAGTGGAAATTAGCAACCTTAACCGATGTTGAAGAAGTAAAAATATTAATCAGAATGTTGCCAACTTGGGCCACAACTATTATGTTCTGGACTGTCTATGCACAAATGACCACATTTTCTGTGTCACAAGCTACAACAATGGATCGTCACATTGGAACCTTTGAAATTCCACCTGCTACACTCACCGTATTTTTCGTCGGAAGTATACTCTTGACCGTAATTTTCTACGATAGGATTATCGTTCCGATTTGTCGTCGTTTCATGAATAAACCTCATGGACTTACCCCATTACAAAGAATTTTCACAGGCCTAGTTCTTTCAATTTTGGCCATGATTGCTGCTGCCCTAACAGAGGTTAAGAGGCTAAAAGTTGCACATTTGCATGGATTGACCAATGATGCAAATGCCACGATTCCATTGACTGTATTTTGGTTAGTTCCGCAATTCTTGCTAGTGGGCGCAGGTGAAGCATTTACATATATTGGCCAACTTGATTTTTTCTTAAGGGAATGTCCAAAAGGGATGAAGACAATGAGTACAGGGCTATTTTTGAGTACACTTGCACTTGGATTTTTCTTTAGTTCAATTTTGGTTACAATTGTGCATGTTGTGACTGGGACAACAAATCCATGGCTAGCTGATAATTTGAACCAAGGGAGGTTATATGATTTCTATTGGCTTTTGGCAATATTGAGTGTGTTTAATTTGATGTTTTTCTTGTATTCCTCAAGAAAATATGTGTACAAGGAAAAGAGACTTGCTGAAATGGGGATTGAATTGGAAGATGATGGACCGGTTTGTCATTGAAATACACAAACTACTCCATCATCAACAAGTCTATTGAAATAGTCTGTCTATCTTCGACAACACTGAAAATGCTATTGTTACTCCATCATCAACAAAAAATTTAAAAAAAAAAAAGAGTTTTCTCTTCTTTTTTTCTATATTTTTGGCTTTAACTTTTGGCTTCTTTGGTTGAGCTTGTAAAAACTCTTTATTGGAAGAGTTATGTAACATAACCTTGTTTTTAATTATATGTACAAAGAATGGGAAAGAGCTTAGGTAATGAAAAGGTCTAGAGCTCTTTTAATTCTTCCTTTCCTTTTTTACTGTATACCATAAATAATGTAATGCAATGCAATGCAACACAAGGGTTTCATACTTCTGAAACTTTTTTATTTTGCTTTAATATCTATCTGACTCATTTCTCTTTTTCCCTTAAAATTTAATTAGTTCCATGTCCACAAACCTTTTTTATCCTTCGATTATCCATTCAACAGAATAGGGAGAAAAAAAACGATTGAATTTTCTTTTACTTGTTAAAACCCTAGATGTGAGCGATTAAATATGACATATCATTCCTACAAGAGAATGCTACTAAGGCAAGGGTATCACCGGAGATGGAACCAAAATATTAATTTTATGAGTTTTGAATTTTAGAACGATAATTTTAAGTGTTAATAATCGAGTTTTAAATTTAATATTTCTATATATTTAATGAACGTTTAAACACAAATATATTATTTGAACAAAAATTAGTGGGTTCGTCCGACTTTATAGCGGGGTGCTAATTCTGCCCCTGGGTATTACATAAATATGCCAACATGCACATGCAATATATTATGGTAACTAGGCAGATGCAATAACGTCGGAACATGTTGTTTATTTGTTAAAATGTGTGATCATCTCATCTAAAAGTTTAAACTTTATCAACTAGCACCACTAAATTCTAATTGAAGCTTTTAGCAAATCCTTGCAAAAAATCCAGCAAAGAGATCCTTTCTCTTAGTTGTTTGAATCACTATAAATTTGGTTGATTGACAAGTCCTTGTTATGGGCCAAAAATGAGATGGGCAGCTTTTATTTTCTCATTAAATTTAATGAATTGAATTACCAGATGGCAATAGAAAGCCCCCTTTATTGCTGTCCGTATAAGCTTGTGATCAGCCATTTTTGCTACATCCTCATCTGAATTTCTGTAATGACAGATTTGAAAACAACAAACTAGCTTGTTATCATTTGACAACGTTTATCATATTTGATGTGTGAAAAATGGAAGTGACATCAGAAATCAGGATTTAAACTCTACGATTATAATTTTTAAGGTTTTTAATATTGAACCTTTATATTTTTCAAGTTACAAGTTCATACTTACTTTTATAATTTTAGTGAATTTTTACACATAAATTTATATTCTGCTTTTAAAGTTATGGTTCAATTCAACCCGTCACTAAAATATTACAGCTGCACCCTGTCCGGAGGCGGATCTAAGATTTAAACGATATGAGTTTAACATTTTAAGTTCTTAACATTGAACTTATTATATTTTAAAAGTTATGAGTTCATATCTATTATTAATCGCAATTTTAGTGAACACGCAGATATTTGTGCTCTGTATCGAAAGTTATGGATCCAATTAAATTCATGGGTACAATGCTATATCCGGCCCTGTCCTTGTCCATAAGGTAAAAATAAAGTCTGTGTACATATTATCTTTCTCATATCCTACAATGTGAGAATATATTGGATATGTTATTGTTGATAATTATCATATCCATATGAAATTTCTTATAAAAAACACCACCTTTTGTTGTTCCATTTAGTTGTAAAAGAATAAACATGGAAGAGAATAATTAGCCCACTTCAACTTCTACACAGACACATACAGTAGCCCGGAAACAAACCAGCAAATATAGGACGAGTTTTGTAGGTTTAACTGAATTTATTGCTTTCGAATATATATACAAATGTACACAGAATGTAAAAAATAAAATTAAAGTATATGCATATACTAAGACCATGCTTATTCTGAACACATTTTGACTCTAATTATATTTTTATTTACTATTTAATCACAAACCACTATAGTTTAAAGCCTAGCAATTACAGTTTGTTTCATTACCATTCGTAGATACTATTCAATCGTTCGCACAATTGTATTCATTAGTGCAACGCATACAATATGTATCAACTGTAACCAAGGCGAAATACAAGAGTATATACAAAGGATACAACTTGCATCAACTGTATTTGTTCGCACAACAAATACAACTAAGGCGAAATACAGAAATATAAAAAAATAAAATATTATTTTTGAGAGTCGAACTCAAGACCTCCGCTGACTAAGTAGGCGCTCTAACCAACTGAGCTATAGAGCAATGAGAGCTTTTTGCTATCTTGTTTTAGTTCAAAATAATTAATCTTTTATTTTATGAATTTGTTATAAAATTCAAATATAGCTACGAATGATAAATTTACTGAAAGTATAGCTACGAATGATAAATACAATATAAATATTTGACGTGTCGCGTAATTTTTCCTTTATTCTATTTGTTTGTTTGTTTTGTTTTGTTTTGTATGTTTGGATGCAACAGTTTATTGTTGAGCACACACCTCTAATGCTTGAATTGGGCCGTGAGAAGTGGGAAAGGCCAAGTCCATTAGCAATTGAATTTTGGTGGGAATCTTACGGAAATGTCCCAAATAAGTCTTAACTTACCAACATCTAGCAATTAATCATAAACTTATCAAAACTAGCCAAGCATATACAAAAATTGAAAACCCAAATAAATAAGGATTCTTTCTCTCCAAGAATCACACACAAAGATCTTCTTCCATATTTTTAAGCATTATCAGCAATATTAGATGCAAGACGAAAAAAAAATTTCATGGATGAGCTATCAAACAAGGTGATATATGAAAGAAACTTTTTTCATAGGTATGATTTGAAATTCATTGAAAACATATAGATAATTCAATATACAAATTTGAGGAAGATTGGAGGTAATTTGGACGGATTTGTTATCAAAATTCGTCGTTAAAAACGAGTTCAATTTTTTTTTCTGCAACACATGTATCAAGCATGTATCAGCATGTATCCACATTTGATACAAATATGATATGTATACAATAACAACCCAGTATAATCCCACTAGTGGGGTTTGGGGAGGATAGTGTGTATGCAGACCTTACCCCTACCCTGGGGTAGAGAGGCTGTTTCCGATAGACCCTCGGCTCCCTCCCTCCAAGAACTCCCCACCTTTCTCTTGGGGTGACTCGAGATACACAAATGATACACATATCATCTTTTTTCATGTTCATCTTCTACTTCGAATTTTCAATTCAAACTACCTCAAAACTCTACCAAATCATCCCAAAACTGAGATTTAAATTCTTAAGCTGTATCCAATTGTGATGACCCAAAATATAATCTTTAAATTTAATAAGTAATTCTGTATTCTAAGACCTCGAAAAGCACCATTTATCATTCCTCGACTTGTGTGCGCAGTCCGTACAATTTTTCGGAAAGTTTTTACGTGAAAAATAGATTAAAATAGGAAATAGAGCTTTAAAATTTAAGTGAGTTGACTTTGGTCAATATTTTTAGCAAACGGACCCGGATCAGAATTTTGACAGTTTCGGTAGCTCCGTATCGTGATTTGGGACTTGGGCATATGCCCGAAATTTAATTTGGAGGTCCCTACCTCAAGTTATGACTAACGGAACTAGCAATGTAAAGGCTAAATATTTCAAGTTTGACCACGGGGTTGACTATTTGATAACGGAGTCGGAATCCGATTCTGAAAATTTGAACAGCTCTGTTATGTCATTTATGACTTGTGTGCCAAATTTAAAGTCATTCCGTATTCATTTAATATGTTTTGGCACGAGATTTGCAAATTGAAAGTTTAAAATTCAAAGTTCGAATCGGGGTGTGAATTATAATTTCAATGTTGTTTGACTTGATTTTAGACCCCGAGTCAGTTCGTATTATGTTACGGGACTTATTGGTATATTCGAGCGGGGTCCCGAGTACCCCGAGAGTGAAACGGATCAAAATCAGAACAAGAATTGGACTTAAGCAAAATCTGAAATTTTGATTTCTAGTATAATCGCACCTGCGGAATTTTGACCGCAGGTACGAGCTCGCAGAAGCGAGACTTCCATCGCAGATGCGGCCTTTGTAGGTGCGGCCCTTGTGCGCAGATGCGGACGTCGCAGGTGCGACATTTTGTCCACAGATGCGGAACCTCGCCTGGCAGCTCATTTTCGCAGATGCGAGATTTTTCTCGCAGATGCGAGCTCGCATGTGTGAGCCTAGGCACCGCAAATGCGAAAATGTTGGGCAGAATACATAAAATCGGGTTTTAGCCATTTTTACTCATTTTTGAGTTTTGAGTCTCGGATTTGGGCGATTTCAAGGAAGATTTTCATGACTTTGAACTGGGTAAGTATTCTTTATCATAAAGTGATTATATTTCACAAATCCATGTATATATTCATCATTTATTTCGGATTTAGATAGAAGAAATTGAAATTTTTGTAAAACTTTTCAAAAACGAAAATTTAAGATTTAAAGGTCCAATTGATATCGGAATTAGACAAATTTGGTATGGTTGAACTCGTATCGGAACGAGTGTTCGGATTTTGCGAGTTTTTTCAGGATTTGAGATGTGGGTCCCACTGCCGAATATTTTAGAATTTCGGATTTTTATCCGAAAAATTTATAAATTCATATGGAATTAATTCCTATGATTCGTATTGAATATATCGAATTGTTTATGAATAGATTTGAAGCTTTCGGAGGCAAATTTAAAAGAAAAAGCTGTGGTTGAATAATTGATTGGAATTTACAAAGCGAGGTAAGTGTCGGGGTTAACCTTGACTTGAGGGAATAAAACCCTTAAATTATTTGTTATGTGAATTGCATGTAAACGATGTATAGGTGAGGTAACGAGTGTCTATACGTCGTCAAATTAATTGTTTGCATGCTTACTTGAAAAATCATAAATTATTTTTAATCATAAATTAATTATTATAATAATTGTCTCTCTCTTATTCCTTGCAAATATATATTCTTGAATTTCTGCATTAATTGTTACATGTTATTTGAATTATGTGCCTTAATTGTTATTTGACATTAAGCATAATAAATATTAAACTGCCTATTTGCTCCCTGATTTCCATAATAATTTGCTATTTGTCATTGTTTGCTTCATAATTAAACTATAATTATTGTATGCTTGTTGTCTCGTAATTTTATATTAATTGTTACATTTATTGGAAAAAAATTTCTATAAGAATTGGTAAATGAAAATGTTGGAGGAGCGGGTTGCACGCCGCAACATGATTGATTATAATGAATATATTGGAGGATCGGGTTGCACGCCGCAACAGACTTATTAAAAGTC